AGTGGCCCTAATCCTCTTCCGTAGGAACCAGTTTGACACCCCTGATTTAAATGCTCGATAGCTGAAAAACGACAATCCTCCATCTTAATGCTCCCTCAGCTTTAATAGATACACCTCAGTAATTAGATAAGCAACTGCCTGAAGCTCAGAGTTTTTCCAGAAAGGCTCTTCTTCTGGGACTTTTTATTTAAACTATTTAGTTTATTTCTATAGAATGGTTGACAAACATTGACGACTCCTTGGTCTGTCCCTCCCCTCAGGTCAGGAGTCTGGATGCCATCCTCTTCTCCTCCATATCCTTTCACTCACACATGGTCTGGTCTACATTCTTCCACCTACGCAACATTAAGCGCCTCCGTCCCTCCCTTACCAGGGACACTGCCTCTATCCTTATTCACAGCCTCTCTTCTTTTCAGCCTCCCTCATATATCCTTCCATAAACTCCAATTTCTTTAGAACTCAGCAGCTCTTCACCATTTTTTCATCATATTACCACCATCCCTCAGCAGCTCCATTATCTCAATGCAAAATTGATCTAAAGCTAAGTCATAATTTCTTAAATGAAGCGTATTTACCCTTAATTTGAGTATCCAAATAAGATGATTTGCCAATGGAGTGAGTATTTTTACGCTTATAGTGAGATCATTTGATAAAATGCACTTAAAATAAGACAATGCAGTGTTTTCTCTTATTTTAAATTTAAATGATCTTGTTCCTTCGGCAAAGTGTCTCACTCACCTCCTTGATTCAAGAAACAAATGCACTTATTTTATGAAAGAATTACTCATTTTAGATTTCAGTTTTTTTGCAGTGCTCCCAGTTCAATACAGATTACACTTTAAAGGAAAAGTGCAGTCATATTCAGAAAGTTCTTTAAATCTGAAATGATTCCATCCTGTTTTAATAAATGATCAGTGATTTTAATTCAGAGTAATTTTCATGTGAATGTGCTTTACTGGAGGCATCCATGTTTGTCAAAGAACACTACTGCCACCTACTGGTTTGTGACGTCACGGTGCGGTA